AATGGAGATTAAATTTTGCAGTGTTCCCTTTTTTCATGGTTTTATGGAAAAGTCAAGTCTCTCTCTGTGTGTGTCTCTCTCCCTCTCCCTTCTTCAATGTTCAAACAATCAGTTGCTTCAGTTCACTATGTCCATTTCCTCTCTTGTCCATTTCCACCCATCCCTCCCTCGCACCTTTGAGCCTTTTCTCCCTTGCAGTCACAACCTTTTTTCATGGGTTTATAAAAGTACCAGTGGGGTCTTGACTTGAGAACTTAATCCGTATTGGAAGGCGGTTAGTCAAAAAGTCTGTAAGTCAAGTCTCCATTGACCTACAGTGCATTGAAAACCGATTAATCCCAGGGCAGTCATGGAGCCCTTCTTGCAAAACCAGCAGAGAGAAACACATCCCAGGACCTGAGAAGCCAAAAAAGGAAAAAGAATAAGCTGTACATGTTTCCTTTAGCCTTCTTTTGGGAAAGCCAGAGAGTCAATGTGGGCAACTAAGGGTTAATACTACTGAGTTGGAATTCCTAGAGCAGAGGGGAAAGAAACCAGGAGAAGGGGTACGCCCCAAAGAGTCCTTTCCTGTTCCACTTTTTTCATTATCCGGAGGGAAACGCAGATTTGACACCTCCAAAGGCTGTGTCCCCTTTCCAGGATTTAGGGATTGTCTTTGGTTCAGAATATTTTTTCCTGTTTTCCTCCTCAAAAAATTACGTGCGTCTTATAGTCAGGTATGTCTTATGGAGTGAAAAATATGGTAGATGCTTAGTTAAGTACATTGCCTTAGTTCCACAATGACGTTTAAGGTGCATCCTGTTCCTCTCCTTTAAAAAACAACAAACCCTCCACAAATGTTCAAGGAAATACAAAATAGTATTTTAGATAAAGTAGTATGAAAGAGTTCACATTCTCATGGGATCAGAAGCATTCTCCATAAATACTCATATATTCACATGTTTGAATTTTTCCACAGGCTAAAAACAAAAAGCAACAGCGAACATTCAGCTTGCAAAGGGTTGCAATTATAAAATACTCAAGTTAGATATGCACTTTAGTTGTTCAGTTTCGTCATAATAAAATAGGCTTCTGTCCTTCCAGTTAAACCTAACTAGGGATAAAAACATTCCATGGCTCAACCAAACAGATGCTTCTCGTGGCGCAGTGGTTAAATCGCTGTACTGCAGCTAAAACTGCTCACGACCTGGGGTTCAAATCCCAGGTAGCCGGCTCAGCCTTCTATCCTTGACTCAGCCTTCTTGCAATTATAAAATACTCAAGTTAGATATGCACTTTAGTTGTTCAGTTTCGTCATAATAAAATAGGCTTCTGTCCTTCCAGTTAAACCTAACTAGGGATAAAAACATTGCATGGCTCATCTAAACAGATGCTTTTTCCTTCTTCCTTAGAGAGGCTGCTTTATCAGCGAAGACAACGCCCCAAATTGTTTGGACACTTGCCCTAGAGAAAAATCAGGAAAAGGCTGCATGATCAGCAAATCGAAATGATACAAATGCAAGAAGAGGCGATGCCTTTATTTGACTATTAAGAATACAGTATAAAGCAAACAACAAACAGCGAGCTTTTGAGGATTAATCTTCTTCAAGGCTGTGTGTCAAGTTCTTGTGGGTCGTTCCAAACTTATGTGCTATTATTAAGGTCCCAGATCCACATGGCTGGGATGATATTGAGGCCATGTCCGCATACAAGTTGGTTTCAAGCTTCTCCTAAGCTCGTGGTTTCAAATTTATGGCCTGTCTCTTGAAACAAAGGACAGGCAGGCTATAAGAAAGAACTGGATGAAGTCTTGAAGAAGATGATTTATCACCAAAAGCTTGCTGGCTTTTAAGAATTATTTATTCTTAATGGTCAAGTAAAGGTATCACCTGCTCCTGCATTAGCCATAGGAAATTCAACTTTCATACTGTCAAGGAAAGGGACTAAATAATCTTTAATACGGGCATGTAGTTGCCAATAATAGAGGGCAAAATCTTCTATTTCGGCTGTCCTGCATAGACCAGGTCTTTTGTTGCATCGTCCTCTCTGTTTGTTCAAAATAAAGATGAGTGAAGGCCTCACATAAATCATTTTTCAAAGACAACTATTTTTTCCTGCTGAAACTGAGTTTTAGTCTTTGCTAACAAGTTCATAGATCATACAGGTGACAGGTCAGCTGGTTTGATCTCTAATACACTTTGTTTGAAAACATATCTCCCATTGCAGTTAATCACACTTAAAACCCTTTTTTTCCTTTTTAAAAACATCACCAGTTTTAAGTGCCAAGGATGTGGAGAGCGGTTTAAGAGAGCTTTTGATAGTGAGTCTGTCCCAGGGCTGCAGAGGAGTCAGGATGCTGTCCTCCATTGCAGTGGAACTCGGGAGGTGGAATGAACCCTATGAATAAATCTTCCCCATCATGCTTTTCTTTCCCAGAGAATCTTGACTTCTCAGGATGTGGCCAAAGTTGGACAGCCTCAGCTTCAACATGTTTGCATCCAAAGAAAGTTCAGGCTTGATTTGATCAGGGACCCCCCTCGTTGGTCTCTCTGGCAGTCCAGGGGAGAACATACGACAAGAGAAATGCCAAAGAAATTCAGGAAGGCTTGTTGGAGGCTCCCACCAAGCTCAGTGAATTAGATTTCTGGCTGCAGAGCCAGAAGTTGGGAGTTTGATTCCCCCACTGGACCTCCTGAAAGAAGAGCCAGCCTGGGTGGCCTTGGGCAAGCAGTACAGTCCCAGGTTTTTCCAATTCTTTATTTTCAACGTTGAACGCTTTCCGGGCATTCTGGGTGGGTTTTGGACGGTGAGTTTGGACTGGAGAGGGTTATGTTTCTGTGCTGCGTTTTTTTGTTTTTGGATTTGTGTTTTTTTGTTTGTTTGTTTTGCAGTCCCAGTGTGGGACTTGCTCTGTTTATTTTAATTAATTTATATATATATTGGTGTTTTTTTAAAATGCTGGAACGGATTGTATAGCAAGTACCCCCATGCACGGACACCCCCACCCCCCATTCACAGATGCTGGCGGTGGCGCACCCCCCCCAGCCATTGGAAGAATGGTCTTCAACAAAACCGGTCGTTGGCATTAAAAAGATTGTGGACCACTTGTGGACAGATCCAACATTATTCAAAAGGATACAAAACCCTAGACCTAGCTATACAACTACACTTGTGAGTTTCGCAGAAACCTGGAGATTTAAGTTCAGGGTGAATGCAGGAAATTTATGGACAAACCTGCCACTCCAGAATGAGTTCAAGTTTGTTTGTCTAGATGTTTTGTGGACCGGTGAAAACAAGCTCCCCGCTAGCTCGTAAAATTCATGGAGGGCATGAAGTTGCCCAATTTTTTTCCTCATTCTTGGAAGGGTCTTAGTTTCAAAATGTGGTTGGCTCTAAGCTGAAGTCACAGAGCAGGAAAAGGCAGAGGCAACAACCAGCTCTGAAGAAGCATTCAACTCTCAGCTTTGAGCGACGGCCACAGGTAACTTTTCAATGTCCTACCTCAGGGAAGCTCTGCTGGGAAATGAAGTTACTGGAGAGGTTTGTTTTATTTATTTATTTATTTATTTAATTTATACCCCGCCCATCTGGTCTTGCGACCACTCTAGGCGGCTTCCAGATACATAAATAAAACATACAAATATACACAAAGATTATAATATCAGTTAGTGAATTAATTAAATTATTCAAGATGGCAAAGAAAAGAAAGAAAGAGGTTCCTTAGAATCAAGGAATGTGTCAACTGAAACAAAGCCAATAATGGTGATCCACCATAAGCCAAATTTTGGGGTGTTTTTTTCTTCCTGGAAATGCCCTTTTATGATTAAAAAAAGAGTTCTGTATTGCAGTAAGCAGAAGTCTTCTTCAGGCTGGACGTTACGGAAAAAGTAGGTAAAAGTGGAAAGAGCAGAGTCCTGGCTGAGGATGGGGTGTTCACACTTTTTTTTTGCAGCTGGCCTAAAATGGGAAAAGAAGGAAATCATGAGTTTATTCTGTACATATTGGGTTTGAATTAAACGGTGTAAAAGAGTGACATTAACTATTGGGAGGTTTTTTAAAAATACCAGGATTCTGGAGGCATCTCTGAGCGTATGAGAGTCCGGAAGAAGGGAGCCAAAGTGGTGCTCTGCACAGGGCTGGATAGGGTGGGCCTGCTGGACCAAATGGGGGCTGCTATGCGCTTCTTGGTCTGGTGCTGGAGGTGGTGTACATTGAAGGGTCACCTTATGGGCAGCCATTCCCAAGCCCTGCCCTCAGTTTTCCGAAGAACCTCCGACTCACCTGTCTTGAATGAGCGGGGAGCAGATTCAACAAGCCCATTCAACCAGCTGAGGCCCAGCAGGGACCAACCCTTCAGCTGCTGCAGATGGGGCTCAGGGGAGGAGGGAGCCAGGAAGGGATCCTGATGACAATACAGGCGACCCTGGCAGAAGCAGCCTGGGCTGGACTATGGCTGAGGGAAGAGCCCCAGTGCTGGGGGGCTGATCCTGGCAGCATTTGAGGTTCCACCTTCTAGCTGGCAGAACCTGCCTGCTTCCTTCTCCCAACCCACTTCTCCGTGTCCTCTTCCTCTGTCATTTATAGTTCTGGTTTCTACAACCCATCCACCCATTGTCTCTTCCCATCCCCAGTTATCCATTCACACTTGAATGACGGAGGATGATTCTTTCCTCGCATAGGTTGCACTAAGAAGTACTTTTCCCGGCAGGTGTGAGAAGAGGAAGATGTGGAAGATTCTGGGGCTGGTTGTCGTGTGTGGCCTGCTGAGTGCCTCCGAGGGAAAGCCATATGCAAGCCGATCGTGTACAAATTCACGAGAATCAGCAAAGTGTAAGGCACAATGATAATGACGTTGGGTTAGGAGAACTTTACTTGCAGCCGTCTCTTTGACATAAACCTTTTTCCGGAGCCTGCCAACAATCATGTGCTGTTTGAAGGCACCCATAGTAGCCGCTGAAGCCCAGCTGCATCTCTCAGTCCACCTCTTGCTCTTGGCCACATGTGCACCATTTGCTTTTCAGTCATCATCTCTGCCATGCTGCACGATGGGCTTCTCCTGAACCACTTGAAAGGGATTTCACTTTCTGATGTGAACTTCGGAGAACTCCTTGATCAGGCCAATAGCATTACAGGGTAAGTCGGGAACCACAAGCCTTTGTGAAAAGAAAAGGTTTTGCCTGTGTTTTAGCAGTGGGACCGTGCAAGGTGCTAGGAGCAATGTGGCACTTGAGGGTGGGCAAAGTCAGACCCTTGGGATCCCTTCGAAGCAGACGTCTCGCAGAGACTGGCTTGGAAGCATCTTTGGCCATGCCTCTGGACCAAATGCAAGAGGCAGGGCCATCTATGGCTTGGCCACAGTTTTCATCTGCACTGCTGCCTCTTTTTCACTGTGTGCCAACTTCTCTCTTCAGGCTCAGAATTGGGAACCTTGAAGTTACCAGTTATGAAGGAGCACTGGTGCCATCAGGTCTTGATGTGTGTCTCTCTGTCTGCTTGAACATCACTGGCCATACGTGAGTATTGGGATTGGAAGGTTTCCACAGTGCTCTCCCCATTTTCTATTTTAGATTTTTGTAAAAGCAGATGTTTGTTAGTAAAACCCAATGAACCAATCAGAGGATCAGATGGTGATCTACTAGGATCATGTTGGATTGCACTGGGTTGTGGGCGACCCCCTTCTGTGGAATGTGATCCGCTTCTTGATCACTGCTGACCAGCTTCAAAACAAGAAGAAAAACCAAGCTGTTGGATGGAAATGTTTAGAGCATGGTCAGACTGTTTTGCACTTTCCTGTATGTTGTCTGGTCGCCAGAGATTAGCTTGTGTCACATGCAGGTCAAAATAGGGAATATATGGCTGCCTGATGGCACCCTAAGAGAGATTTGGACCAGCCCACCAAAGCTCCATTTATTGATTTCTGAGTTGCTCATGAGTTTTTTCAAGTTGTGAAAATCACCAGGAGCCATCTAGGAGACACTTTCATGAACTGTAGCCTCTTATCATTGCATGCACTTAAAATCACGGTTCATGACAAGGGTCACCCCAGGAAGAGTTTAAAAGGTCCAATTGCTATTTTAGCAGAGTTTGGTAGTAAGGTGTTAGAAGAAATATTGTATACTAGCTTGTTGTATTTTTGGTGTTTGTAATTAAAGTGTACCTATATTATACTACAAAAAAGACATAGTAGGTTGCAACAGCATTATTTGCTGGGTGCAATCTAATTTGTTCTTATTCTGATTGCCTTTTAGTTATACTTAAGAAAAAGTAATATAACAAGATGTGTTCTCAAAGGCTTTCAAGGCCAGGATCCAATGGTGGTTACAGGTTTTTTGGGCTGTTTGGCCGTGTTCTGGAGGTTTTTCTTCCTAGCATTCTGCCGGCATCTTCAGAGGGCAGGAGCTAGACTGCCACTATAGAGACAGAGTTCTAACTCCTGTCCTCTGAAGATGCCGACCACAGAGACTAGTGAAATGTTAGGAAGAAAACCATCCAGAACATGGCCAAACAGCCCGGAAAACCACAACAACCAAAAATATAACAAGATCTTTCCCATTTCTATTGTGCCATATAATATACCCCCATGTATAAGATGCCCGCCCCACGCTTTTCTAACCCAGAATTTCTTTCTTTGGAAGAAAGTGGAGGGGGAAAGCAGGAATCATGAAAGCAATTCATCAGAGTGATTCCTGCTTTCCTCCTCCACTTTCTTGCAAAGCACCTTCTTGTGAGGAAAGTGGATCAGGAAAGCACTTTCTTGCACAGAAAGTTCTTTTCCCCTCCAGTTTCTTCACAAAAAAGTGCTTTTCCCCCTCCACTTCCTTTGCAAAAAGTGGAGGGGGAAAGCAGGAATCATCAAAGTGCTTTGATTTCTGCTTTCCCCCTCCACTTTTTGCAAAGGAAGTGGAGAGGGAAAGCAGCTTTTTTGTGAAGAAACTGGAGGGGAAAAGAACTTTCTGTGCAAGAAAGTGCTTTCCTGATCCACTTTCCTCACAAGAAGGTGCTTTGCAAGAAAGTGGAGGAGGAAAGCAGGAATCACTCTGATGAATTGCTTTCATGATTCCTGCTTTCCCCCTCCACTTTCTTCCAAAGAAAGAAATTCTGGGTTAGAAAAGCGTGGGGCGGGCATCTTATACATGGGGGTATATTATATGGCACAATAGAAATGGGAAAGATCTTGTTATATTTTTGGTTGTTGTGGTTTTCCGGGCTGTTTGGCCATGTTCTTCAGCCTGCTTGATCCCTCGAACCTGGTCAGCCTCTCACTGGAAGTGACGTTCCGAGTCAAATATGAACGTACAAACTTCCAGAACGGTTCCCTAGACATTATCTTTCATGAATGTGGTGCTAATTTTGGAGCTATTACAACCACCCTCTTGGGTAGGTGAGTATCGGCACCTTTTCGGTAAAAGGTTTCTGACTGTTGTCGCTTGTTGTTGCAAACCAGTGAGTTGTCAAGTTCTTCACATGCAAAAGGAACCTGGGTCCTGCCAAAGAGCCCCACGGGGATTTAAGGGCCAGTCTCCACCACTAGATCTTTCTCAGTCTGGCTGAGCCACGGGCCTGACATGGTGTGTTTGTTTGTTATCCCACCAAACTGACAAGAAACCTTGGCTCGGTCTCCCAGGACCCGACCCATTCCTGATGCATGGGATAAGGTCTTATCTCCTCTGTGATTTGTGGACAGATTGTTCCCTGAAAGCAAGAACAGGCTGTTTTCCTCAGAGCAAATGCCTGGATTGCCTTATAGGATGGCTTCGAGACTCAGCGTAACCTCACGAAATAAAACACTGCATTTAAAACTCCCCTATTTAGCACCATTTCCTTATAAAATGCTTTGCAAAACCCTCTCAGGTGTCAGCCAGTCAGTCATTTTTGGCTGGGACAAACTGCCCCCTCTTTTCCCCCTCCCTTTTCTCTCTCTCTCTCTGCTCTTTTCCCTCCTTTCCCTGCTCCCTTATATGCACATCCCCCATACACCCCATACATACAAAAAAAGCAGGTTTCATGTGCTTCTTGTTTTATATTGCAGCACACTTTCAGCATCCCTTCTGGATAAAATACAGGACTCCATCATTGCTGACATAAACCTCCAGGTATGTCCACCGATGAAACCACTGTGTCAGACTGTTATCTGATTGAAAAGGAAGAATGTGTTTATGTTGAGAGCCATTGAATGGGGCAGCACTGAAAAATGCAGCCTGCTTTAAGAATGGTAACATACTCACCCTACCAGTTCAATTACCTCTGAAATCCCCATCAACCATCAGGGTTGTCTCTCCCTCCAGTAGACTCTTTCCTTACTACCTTTCCTAACTGCCTCTTCCCCAACAATCTCCTGTTAGCTCTCCCTGTTCACTCCCTGGGGTTGGTCTCAGTTTTATTCCTCTGCTGTGCTCTGTTAGGAGTTAGCAGACATTCACAAAGTCCAAACCAATGCTCATGCAAACAGCTCATACAGCCCTATAAAATATACTGCCAGATGGAGAGAAGGGAACGAATGGACAATAAAAGGGCATGGGTGTCTCTAAAATACATATGTGCCTGAGAAGAGAGGAAGGATCAGGATGTTTTCAGCAGAGGTCACAATGGCTGTTCTTTGTGCTTCCAAAAAACATGGTGCCAAGAAGGTTAAGGAAGCTTCTTGCCACACAGGATGGCTGTAGGGTCCCTGTTCTATTTCAGAGACAGGACGCCATTGAATAACAGTTCAATGGAAGGCAGGAACAAGAAAGGGTTAAAGCCTTCCTGATCTTAGGGAGGCCCCCATCTCTCTGGGTATCCTGTTATCGTTTGTGATCCTGGCCTCTGCATCATTCCCGGTTCACAGATGCTGTTCTCTCTCCTACCCCCATCTGCCAGGCAGCTCCTTAGTATGACAGACACATTTTTCTCTGTTGGGGCACCTGGGCTAAGGACCTCCTGGCTAGCCACTCTCTTTTAAAAACTAATGGAAATGTTATGGTTTAGAGTAATAATTCCTGGCATCCCCAGCCAGCTGAGCCGTATCTGGGAATTCTGGAGTCATAAAATGATATAATCATAGAAGAGTGAGGTTGGAAGGGTGCCTCTAAGGCCATCCAGCCCAGCCCCTTGCTCAAGGCAGGGATCTGAATCAAAGGAGATCTGACAGGGAGTGGTCTAAGCTTCTCTTGAAGGCCTCCACAGCGTTGGAGCACTCACCATCTCCTCCCAAGGTTATGGGTTCCGTTGTTGTACTGCTCTAACAGTTAGGAGGTTTTTCCTGATATTCACCTGAAATCCGGCTTCCCATAGCTTGAGGCCATTATTATGCACCCTGCACTCTGGGATGATTGAGAACAGATCCTGCCCCTGTGCTGTAGGACTGCCTTTCAAGTTAAAAAGTACTATCATATCATATTGTATCATATTGTATTCTATCGTACCATATCTTATTGTACTGTAGCGTACTATACCACACCATATCACATCATGGAAAGGAAGGGATCTGGTCTCCAGATGCTCCTGTGGACGGGACACCCACATTCCACCCTCATTTTTTATGTGATGGGCTGGGCATGCGTTAACAAAGGCTGCCCCATCATGTAGGAAATACAGTAGTGGTGAAGTGTGGCTGTCCCATCCATGGTACAGACATTTCAAACCCAGGCCAAGGAAAGCATCCAGAAGGGTTGAGGTCTTGCTGGCAGTCTGATCTGTGCCTTTCCTCCTTCAGATATGTGGTGTTCTGAAGACTGTCATTCACTTGGCAAAAGATTTCCTCTTCAACAGTATTAACGGTAAGATTTTTGCATCTGATCCTGTCCTACACAGAACGTCTCTCCCCACTCACTTTCCCTTTCTGCCACTCTGAAAACGTTTCCTTGTCTATTCCTTTGAACGGAATGGCAACATTGATTTATTGATTGATTGATTAATTAATTATATGCTGTCTTTCTCCACATAGGGCGATCAGTGGCCATTCATCTCAGTGAAGTTGCTCTTGTTTGAAAATATATGCAATAAACTATCTGTCCTGCCGAATTTAATATTCTGCTGTTTTCCCCAGATGCACACGCCACGGGAACATCAATCTAGTTTTAATGTGACAAGCACAGAGACGGAATGTTATGGGAGCAATTCTCAGAATGGAGGAGGAGATGAGTTATTTCCCAGCATAGTCAGGACTAGAAGAAGGGAAAACATGAAAGAAGGAAACAAGGAAAGAAAGGGAAGAAAGGAAAGAAATAGCTGAAGATTTTCTTGCCCCCAAATGAGAACATCTATCCCTCAGGTGGCACCACAGCTCCAGAATGTCTTGGATGAGCCATGTAGCGACTGGTGTGCAATTTATGACTCTTGATGAAAACCTCAGTCCATCATCCTACCTCTCTCACCTGAAAGGGCCAAGAGTTCCATAGAAGCCAATGGGGACAGCGGCACAACAAACAGCTCGACCCAAGAGGCCAAGGAAAACAGGGAGGAACCAACAGGGTGGGTTCAGAGAGATCTCCGCTGGGGGTGTCTTGACATCATAGCTCGTTCCTTCTTTCCTCCTCTCAGCCCTTCCCTTGGGGCCCTACGCGACTCTGAGGTGTACAATGGCAAGGTTGCCCTCCGTCTCCGACACCTTCACTGCTGTCGATGTGTATGTAAGTATCAGTGAAGTTGACCAAAAAGCAATGTCCTTCTGAGGTGTGAGCCCTCACCTGTTTGCACTAAAACTCAGTGATGGTCAAATGCTCACCTGTACTACTAAAGGAAGACATAGCAGGCTGCCATTTTCTGTTCTTTTCCAGATCGATGTTGAGGTCCCGGGCCAAGGGATTCTCTCCATTCCCAACTCAGCCGGCTCCATCAACCCGCCCTGCCTGGCCAACTTTAAGTCCTGCCAGTCTTTCCATCCGGAACTCTTCAACATTGTGCTGTCCGTTTTAGCTCCAAAAGAGCCCCAAGAACTGAGCTGCACCCCAGACAAGGTGAGCAGGTGTTGGCATGGACTGGGCTGGCAGGTCAACGGAACTGCTAGAAATTGTGGAGGGGTGGATTCGACGAACGGAATGGATCCTTCGAAGGCAGGTGGGGCTCTTTGGACCAGGAGGAATCCAATTGGTTAAAGGCAGGGAGAAACTTCTGTGCTGTAAGTGATGCATTCTTCACCATTTTATGATACCTCGAATGTTCAATGTCATCCCACTGTTAATCCTTACTACTATGCATAGTGAGGAGATGGCTCTTCGAGTCCATGTAATGCCATCTTCTTTCCCTCTCCCCTTTTCTGAAACAGTTCAGTGGAGCCGATGAACTGAGGAGTGCCATTTTGGCTCTTGTCCTTTCTAAGGTGAGTGAGTTTTTAGAAACATAGCTTGGCATGAGTCCCATTGCTTTTATTTGCTTGGCCACTGCAAAAGCAACCTTCCAAAGCACTGACTTCCAAAAGAGTGAGAGTCAATGGCTCTCAAGAAGAGGTTCTCCCATGGATCCTTTCTTATATGGTTACCTCCTATATTTCCTCTAACAGACACTCAGTGCATTTAAGAGCAGGCAGAAATTCAAGCTCCCCCCCCAATGTAATATATCTGAAAAAACACTGCTGAATTTCTACTCTTTTCTTGTACAAACTAAGAGATCCTGGTGGGGCGTAAAAGTGCACCTTCAGAGCCTTGGCAGGGAAAAGTGGATGCTGGGATCCTTCCCCTCAATAGAACTGGGACAAGGGAGTACTGGAAAGATGGTGGACCTTTGCTAATGCTCCTCTGCTCTTCTAGTGATCTTTTTAGGGTTGAGCATGAACTCTGAGATTAGGTTGAAAATATTTCAAAGGGGGAAATTCCTATTTAAGATAGTGTTGTTTTGGAGAATATGTTGAAGCCCTAGAAAAGAACAAATCATGAAACATGTACACACACGCCACATGAACATTGAACGTGGCCCACCTCTTAACTGCTGTGTATATTTTCCTAGGAAGACAAATGCTAGTTTTTCCAAGATTCTGTATTGAGTATCCTGTTTTTCCCCTTTCTTTTCAGAACCAAGGAATTGTCTCTGTGGTATGTGATTTTTATTTGGGGACTAATCCCGGAGGGTGCGTGGGTGGGGGTGAGGGCAAAGCAGTCCCTACCAATTTTAGCTCTTCTTTTTTAGAAACTAGGGTGATGATTGGATACGTATCTCATTTTTCCCACTAGGGTGTCTTGAACATTCGAATTTCTATTGAGGCGAATCCAGCGATCGTTTTCGGACCCAACGGCATCGTCATCACTACCACTCTCAAAGTTGAGTTTTTCATCAGAAACACAGATGGATCTACCTATTTCGTCCTCATCGTGAGAAGCGTAAGTAGCAACTTCTGGATGACAGGATGCTTTGGTCAACACCAAAAATGCCCCCAACGCCACTGGTTTCTGCCATATTGAAAGGAACAGGATAGCCTTTCAGTTTGACCAAACTCTGCTACCGGCTAAAGGTTTTCAAATGTGTGTTTCCAGAGAGTCACTTTGGGTGCTGTGCTGTCTTTTGTGAAGGGAAGAGTGATCTTTGTGGCATCCGTCATTGGGTAAGAAGAAGACGTTCCTTTCTGTCCCCTAACTCCCATCCAGCATTGGATTTGGGCAAGAAGAGGCAACTGTGCAAGAGTTTCTGCTTATAACCATCATAGGAGGACATTTGCCATCAAATGCTTCTCTGATCTGGGTCTCCGACACAGGCTAACGGAAAAGCTGTTCCAATGCCTGCTTTGGGAGGAAAGTTGCCATGTGGGATGGTTTACAGATCCTCTTGGAAGAGTCTATCTGTGCACCCAGAAGGATTGCACCTATTTTGAAGGGATCTGTTGGGTCCCTCATCAAAATCCTCCATTCTGGAAAGCTTTGCTGGGCACCAACAATCAGAGGCCTTGGACAAAACAGAGTCAGCGTTCCAGGCATGTTTTGGAGAGGAGAGAAGGAGCCGTCTGTCAGGCACCAGAAGGCAATTTTCAGGAGAGGAATTTATCATGGTCTGAGTGAGGGGCTGATGGAGTTCAGCTAAAGCGAGATGTGACAAGGATTGTCCATGTAGACATGAAAGCAGCTACTTGGCAGTTTTAGCTGGAAGGCCACAATTTTTGATTCTGACAGTCTTGTCTTTTTTCTCCAGCAACGCACTGGAGCTGATATCTTCTGATGCTGGGGCCTCTGATGATGTAAGTTGATCTTTTCTTGGACCTTAATCTTCTTGCTTTCAAGGATGCTCTAATGCACTTTTGGGTACATTACTTGAAGTATAAACAGGGGAAGGGGAAATGGCTCTGTGTTGGGGCACGTGCTCTGCTTTGCAGGCGGAAGTCCCCTTGAACTTCCATGAAGGGTTGAATGACAACTGTCCTTGTTTAAACCACTGGAGAGTTACTAACATGTGGACAGATCTATAGTTACACCCAACATAGGGCAGCTTCCTATGCTTGAATGTCCACCTTTCACTTCTTTGCTCCCTTGCAGGTTTCCAGTCTTGAATCGCATTGTGCCAACTTGCTGGGAGAAACCTTTTTGCCTGTTTTCAATGGTAAGACCCCAGGAAGGATTCAAGAAGCTGTGTGGTAGCAGTGGGCAGGGGCTGTTGGCTCCACAGCCTCTTTTTGGGTTTGCTGGAGGCATCGCATCTGGTTCTAAGGAAACAGAGATAGGCCCCTTCTGTGAGGTCATGTGCTTGTCCTTTCACTGTCTCTGTCTCTCATGAGAAGAGAGGGAAAGAGTCCCTGTTATAGAACCCTCTCTCCCCAGGAAGACATGCCTAGCACCAAAATTAGCCTTATTCCAGTGCCAGACAGGTGGTTTTGTCTTCAGAAAGGCAATTAAAATCTTGTCAATTATTATGTAGCCCTTCTTCACAGGCTGAGAAATCAATTCAGAGTCCAGACATAGGCCCTGGCTCTTGAAACCAGCCTCCATTTCTTTGCTTCTTTCTTTCTTACTTTGTTGGACTGAGACCCCACAGATCTAGCAGGAAGCCACTCTTCTGGGTGGGTGCAAAAAGAGAGAGAGTAAAATAAAGGTATAGACAAAAACAGCTATTTAACAAGCATCACGAATGTTCAATGATGGCTAAGTGAAGACAACTGACTCAAACATTGAGAACAGATCATCACCACAGGGCTATAGCAGAATTGTCTTGAATTTAAAAAAAAAAAAAAAAAGAAAGAACGAGGCTTCAAAGCCCTTGATAAAAAAGCCAGGTTTTAATTTGCTTCCTGAAGTTCAGGAGGTGAGGGGACCAGACACCGTCTGCATCACTATATGGTCTCCAGTGCCTGATAAAATGTGATTGATTAATTCCAGGGCACCTTGCTGTTGGACTGCCTGTATTTCCAATTTTCAGTACAGTATCAATTAATCCTACATTCCAGTTTCTTGAGGTAAGCCTTGAACAGCATCTATACCCATTTCTTTGAATTACCATTTACTAATAGTAGCTATACTTGGTGCTTTACTGACATTATCCAACTGGAATGATAAAAGAAACTACTTTGGGGAGGCCTGTATTTTTTCCATGCTTGTGAGTGCTAGTTTTCAGGGAAGGAGAAAGAGGTGATAGGATGGTGACTTTACCAAGCCAGAGGAGAAATTCAAACCAAGGACTTTCTCCACCCACTATTTAAGTCACACTTTAAAGTTGTACTTTACTGCAGGAGAAATTTAGGGAACAATGACAGCCACTCTTTGTGGCCTCCATAGATCTTACAAAGGCCTTTGATTTGGTTAGCAGGAATGGCCTTTTTAAAAGAATTCCCAAGACTGGATGTCCACCTCGACTCCTTAACATCATCAGGTCCTTTCATGAGGGAATGAAGGGCACTGTAGTTTTTGATGGCTCAACATCAGATCCCTTTGACATCTGAAGTGGAGTAAAACTGTGCCAATCCTGTTTGGGATCTTTTTTGCTGTCATGCTGAAGCACACCTTTGGAACTGCAACAGAAGGTGTCTATCTCCAGACTACATCAGATGGAAAGCTCTTTAATCTCTCTAGATTGAGAGCAAAGACCAAAGTCCAACTGAAATGCATGCAGGACCATCAACAACTCATGAATCGTTTTAGCAAGGCCTGCCCAGACTTTGGACTAACAATCAGCCTGAAGATAACACAAGTCATGGGACAGGGCATGGACTCACCTCCCTCTATTATCATCTCCACACAAGAATTGGAGGTTATTCATGACTTTGTGTACCTTAGCTCAACAATCTCTGACACACTCTTCCTAGATGTCGAGCTGGATAAATGCACTGGCAAAGCAGCTACCATGTTCTCTAGACTCACAAAGAGAGTATGGTTTAATAAGAAGCTGACGGC